CACACACACACACACACACACACACACACACACACACACACACACACACACACACACACAGGATGGCAGCCTGTTAGGTGCGGGCAGGACAGAAGTTACCATAAAAACAACACGTTTTAATTAAGTACGACTGACTTTGAACGACTTAAGATTATTTTGTGAGTATGAAAAGGCTCTTCCTTTTGTGATTCTTTTTTTGAAAGTTGTAACTAGAGTGAGTCACGTTTCCTTACCCAGCGAGGTTTACAGATCGCCCAATTACACAGTAATCAGCTCCGCCCTGCATAAACCGGGCCTCAAGGCACTGGGCGGCCACTACTTAACACACCGTCCTCGTGACCCCACCCACCCACACACCGAGCAGAAATATCACACAAAGGTAAACTAAAGGGCACCCCAGCATTATTCCTGAAACTGTCTTTATAGGAGGGTGTGGACTCTGCACCGTTTTTCTAACAGGAGCTGCAGACGGTTATGCAGCCAGATGTTCTGATTTAATTAATCAAGGTCAGCGACCTACCCCTCACACGACCCCCCCACATGCAGCTCTCTGACTGTACGTCAGCCTCTGCTTTTGCCCCTCCCTCAGTGCCCCGACGACGGCATTTCCTGTCCTAAAAAACGCGGTCAGGAGGAAGAACGAGGGACCGCTTGTGAAAGAATGGCACTTACGTCACTCCTAACAGATTGCGCAGTGGTGGCGGGGGAGGGGGCCCCTGGAGGCATCTGACCCACCTGCAGATGTGCAGGTGCGACCTCACAGAAACCATAGCATGGATGACCACCCCAGCCGCCCCCCCAACCCCCCACATCTGCCTCCCCTCCGGAACCCACTGCCTGGCCTTGGTGGGTATACAAGAACTGTGACACCACCACCACCAGAAACAGAGAACGAAAGAGAGCAGGGAATGAAAAAAAAATCAGAAAACCCCCCTCCATTAATCACTCCCTCGTTATGTCTGGGAGAAGGACAGTGGACCAGTGCTTCACCCAGTGGCTCCCAGTCACCAGCCCTACACGCCTTAAACACGCACCCTACACGCCTTAAACACGCACACCTGTAACCCAAGGAGGGAGACAAGAGAGCAAGTTTTAAAAAATGTAAAAGCATGAAAGCACTTACAAAAGGCTTCCTAGAACTCTCCATCCTCAGAGAAACGCTCACCTCCAAGTAATTGCCACATTCGGGAGAGGGACAGATAATCAACATCAATTTCACTCTTAATGAACGTATCGTCAAGTCTACTCGTCCTTCTAAGCACTCACCACAACCTCCCACAATCGGCCCACATTGGCAGCATCGCTGGACCATTGTTAACCAGGCCAACAGAGACGGACATGGGCATCCCTGGCGCCCAACTGATCACTTCTGGGGTAAAAATGTCAGATGTCATTCCAGGTCACCGGCTCCGGGCCCACGATTTAAAGATCAGAGTAAACAAGCTGAGAGGATGTCAGTGATGCATAATTAAAATGAATCCTCCGCACTTATGTCAAAGTTACCCCATAGCCCCTCTGCACCACCTAATTTTTAACAGGTTTCAGTATCCTGTAGCAACTGAACCAGTTTTACGGATTGCCTGTTCTTGCTGCACAGCCCATGGGACAGCCTAATGTGGCATGAGAAATGGGAGAGCTTTGGGACAAGAGTACTTGGGGCAGCAAATCCCAGAACAGGACAGTAGATCCAGGGGCAGTAATTCCTGGGATAGGACAGGAGCCCCGGGGGCAAGAAAATCCAGAACAATAAAGGAGAGAGTGGGACAGTGTGAGACCTCCAGTAAAAAATCAATGGTAAATTAACCGAGGGTCAGGAGTCCTGGGAGACACTAACCGAGGGACAGGAGTCCGGGGGACACTAACCGAGGGACAGGAGCCCAGGGGGACACTAACCGAGGGACAGGAGCCCAGGGGGACACTGACCGAGGGACAGGAGCCCAGGGGACACTGACCGAGGGACAGGAGCCCGCGAACAACCCTGCGGGAAGCCCTGAGCGCTGTGGGAAGCTCATCTGGTCACACACGGTACGTCTTACCAAGCTGAGACTCATATCCTGTAACAACAGCTTCAGCAATGCAACTTTCGTACGAGGCCGATCGTCTTAAAGTGAAGGAAGGAAATGAAATGCAGCCTAACGACGTTTAAAAAATCCTAAACATTAAAAAAACAAAAATATCTGGGGTATGAGTTTTGTGGCCGTAATCGGCAAGCGTGCGGCGCGGCTCTGCACTTTCGCCAGCTCACGGAACGTAAAGTTTAACGATTTACACCAGCGATGACCGATCAACGTCTGCATTGCAAAATTACGAATTAAATGCAAAGTTGTAACGAGGTCCTACCTTCTTTCGGCAAAACACTCGATTTAGGGAGCCGTGCGGAGCTATGAAAGTCATTTATGGAGGTAAAGCATGGTGGTCACGTTAATCCGCGTTGTGCAACTTCTGTTTTAACTGTACGAAAGTCCGCATTCAGGCGGACACACACACATACACACACTCGCGCGCACACACACTCCGTGACTCACCGATCACTTAGTGGGAGTCTCTAGCTCTGCCTTTCCGACTGAGCATGTTTTACTTGACGCGCCACGCAGGCTTCCCTGGAGGATCGCGATCTTTTCTCCTCCGTGCTGGGGGGGGGGTGTTTGTGTGTGTGTGTGTGTGTGTGTGTATATATATATATATATATGTGGAGGATGGGCCTGGGGGGTGGGAGAGAGATTGGCTTGAAAAACGCTCTGCGGCGTCCCCCGTGCCGTTGATATAGCGCCTTTCACGGTCATGTAAGCACCAAAAGTAAGGCAGCGATGCTAATACTATGCATACTACGGTATGTTTCCACCGCCTGCTGACACGTCCACATACTCTCTGCGCAGGGGAAGTACCAGGCGTGTTTTATTTGTATATCCCCCACTTTTAAAGCACCTTATGGTTATGGACATATTAAGGCGGGAGCCACTTTTAAGCATAACTTGTGATTTTCAACCGCTGTAGCGTAACACATTGATCCGCTAAAAGAGGATGTGTGTTTCTATAATAACCACACACACGCGAGCTGCTGGTGATTAACCCGCGATTAGTGTTTTCACAGGGACCAGTGCAGCGTAAAAACGCGTCGGCTCCACAGTGCACAGATCACGCTTTTATATATGAAAAACTGCATTCCTGTGCAGTGTGTTAATTCTCTGTCGTCCCAATCCCTCGGTCATAGACACAGGAGTCGGTCCTGTGCAGGGATGCAGCTTCTAATTCCACATGGTTCCAGTTAAGTACAATCCATACGTGTCATAACCATAGGTCATATGAGGAAAAGGCTGACGTTTGGGTGGGGGAGCAAGGAGCCCACAGCCTCCATTATGTGTGTGTTTTTTTTGTGATAAAAGTCAACCTGTTTATCCATAAAAGCCCTCCATGAATGTGCCAAAGCCCCTTCTAAGGGCACCTGCCTTCAGACCCTGCCCAGTCAGCAAAAATCTATCGGCAGTCAATCGGCCCACAAAAGTGTGTTTCACTCGGCCCACTACCCGCCTGGGGCCTCGGCCGTACTGTGGCATATATACTGCAAGCCGTATCTTTATCAGTGAATCGGCCCAGATCTGGCTTACATGTCACACACCGACACCCTGTTAAAGCATCGGCACAGATTCGGCTTACGCAGCTCAATCTCCATAGGCACGTAAATAGCCCGCACGCGCCCCATGCGCGGCACGCCGCAGGTAACCCATACTCGGTGCAGATGCAGCTTTTTTTCCCATTTTAAAAATTATTAAATTATTTTTAATTCAGACTATGTTTAGTTGCCTAGAATTCATTAAAAAAAATCTTTAACAAAAACTCTGTAATACTTTCTATACTTCTGCTTTCTTACTGGAGAATATAATAAAATATAAACAGTTGGAACAAGGATCTTAGTCAACACTTCATTTAACAATTGCAAAGTATTTTTGGTATGTTAATATTAACTATACCACTGATGCAGCAAATCCTTAAATATCTTAAATGCTTTTGGGCAATACTCATAGCTGGCTCCTTTTCCTATATCAGCCACCTAATAATAGTCCTGAATTCTTTTATCACCAATGACCACACAAGAGTTATCCATTTTATAATACAATTTTAATAAAAAATAATTTAACAAACATATAAAACTTTGTAAATAGTTGCAGAAGAGAACACAATAATCACAATCATAACACAATCATCTTCCTTCACTTTTCCATCCTGCGCTTCCTCCCTCCTTCCCGGTCTGAAGAAAGTTGAAGCCACCGCTTCATTACATTCTCAGCTTCATTGTTTGTTGTGTGTTTGGTGAGGGGATTTTTTCTAACAGCAGCTGAAAAACAAAAACATTGAAATAGTTATTGCAATAATGGCAATTCATGTTAAAGTTGTGTGCTTAAACTATGATCTCACGATGCTCTGTCACCATCATGATGATCACGCACACACTGTAGTTAGTGTCTGCTATATAAGATGAAGAGATAATGTGATATTCACTTCACCTGTCAGTGATCATGTTACACCAGATCAGTGTGTACTGTGCATATAAACACACACACATATGAATGTGTGTGTGTGTGTATATATATATATATATTAGTGCTGTCAAACGATAAATTTTTTAAATCAGATTAATCACAGGGTTGCTGTGGATTAATTTCGATTAATCACGATTAAATATTCATTTTTAATCTATATTAATCACATTTAATTTTGCATGAGCAAACAGGCTCAAGAAAAAAGGGAATATATATGCACTTAACATGTTTATTGAACATCTTGAACACGAGTCGGATGCATTCCATCTGCCACAGAAGTGCAATACAACGGACCCATATCAAAAAGCAAGATTTTTTTGCTTAGCCAGACAACTTGTCGGATTTAAGGTACCTCAGTTTAAATGGTCTTTATCTTCGTTCACTTACTGTTAGCCCGAACTACCGTAAATCTGACAAATAATCCTACTAATCATGAAATTCTAGCCCGGTTAACTGCCATTGTTAGCAATATCAGTTGATGACACATTTTGCGCAGTGCTTTACGTATAAAACTCTGTAGCAACACATCCACAGATAAGTTGGACGGTATAGTGTGTGCGACCGATTTAATGAGCCACAAGTGAGAAGCAGTGCTTAAACACTATAAAACTACAACTTTCCCTTCTGTTGATAAAGGGCACAGCGTTCTTGGATTCTGAACTCGGGATCCTCTGTGCTGCTCAGATATTTCTCGGATCTCCGAGAAACGGGAGCGCATGTCCTCACTTCCGGCTTCAAAACTCCAGAATCCGACTTGGAATACGAGTTCCGAGGGCAAATGGAACGCACCAAAACTGCCCGAAATGGGTTGACAGAGACATTTCAGGGATTTTGAGTCATTCTGTGCTGCAGATGGGTTAATTGCATTAAAAATTTTAATCAGATTAATCATAATGATGGATTAATCTGCGTTAACCTGTTAATTTTGACAGCCCTTATATATATATGCGCTGAAACTCTGATCTCTCTTCTCATATTAATTTTTCACACATAAATGTCACACGGCAAAAACAAATTAACTGGCCTTGCTGCTCCAATACTTTTGGAGGGGCTGCGTCTAAATCACTGATCACTTACCCAGCCCAGGAGTGTTTAAGTAAAAGTAATGATAAAATTACAATGCAGAAAAATTAAAGCAAAGGGAATAAAAAAAAGTTAAAAAGATGTTTACCAGTGATCACATCTTTAAGTTGAAGGGAAGCAAAGGAGGTTTTCCCATTGAGTCCTCTCCAATTAATAGTTTTTGCCAGGCTGTTACCCAGAGTTCTCTTCATTATTCTCCACACAGTCTCCTTAGTGTTGTTTCCTCCAGTCAGACCTAAATGATTAATCTGAAAAGATAAAAATGTGGCCAATATGTAGGTCAGCTGTGCAAATTCAAAGTATCACATTCACAGCTGCATGGAAATGTATTTACTGAAAAATAGAATAACTGACCAATTTTTCTCTCATGTCTAGACTGTGTAGTTGACCTTCCAAAGCATGCAGAGCTTCCAGGTCTTTCAGTGGTAGAAGTCCTTCTTCAATGTTGTCAGTGGGGGTCTGTTGCTGTGCTTGTAACAGTTTGAGAATTAGTGACTGCTGCTCAAGGATCATTTCCTGCTTAGTGAGGATCTCCTTCATTACAGCTGAGAGAGAGAGACAGAAAACAGTATTATATCTAACAGTAGTATTAAAATGTGTAACCATTTACTTGAGTGCAATTTTACAACAATAACCCCTAAACATGTAATGTTGGTAATAATTTAATATTATCTAAGAAAACACTTAATATAGTGCAATACAAGGAAATGTGTCCCCAGCAATTCACCCATCCAATGTAGAAGCAGTGGGTAGTTATTTGGGTGCTCAGTACTTGTTAAGCAGTTGAGCGATGGGCAAACACACGTTCGACTGAGAAGCTTCTGCACAAATGCATGATTCTCTAAACTTTAGGCTAGCCATGCACTATTTCATTTCCATTTTTAATACTTATTATACACATCAGAGTTTGGGGTTTGCGACTTAAGACCCAATTCAATGTGACTGGGTACAAATGTAGCAACAAAGTATAGTCTACAGTAATTTCATGTATTTCTGGTTAACACAAGAATACACAAGAAAAGTAGTACAAGTAGTAATGCTGAACCATAAACCTCCACTAAACTCAAAGCAGTGCCATAATATTATTTACCAAAAATTAATTTACCTTCGCATGTCTCATTTGTAGCCATTGGGAGTTGCTGTGGGGAATAGTGTGACCACAGGCTTTGGCCATTTGATTGACAAACTACAGAAGCAAACAAAAACAAAAACAGTTTGTTATACCAATACATTTAAACTATAGAAGAGTGATATCTTGCTTGGCAAGATTTGTGTATACATTTACTTATTCTTACTCTTATTCTATCTTTTATTCTATAATCAGTGTTATTGTGTCTATTGTTTTGTTTAGAAAAGGATACTTCAGGGATACATTTCTTCAAATCAGACTGCTTAGTTTATATTAGTTAGTTTACATTAACTGTAGTTTACGTTATCATTCCCCATAGAGATTTCATCCTTTGCACAATATTGTTAAAAATAAAGAAATAAATATAACCTTATTTGAATAAAATTTTTGATTAAGTTTCTTTAATCTTTGGAGGACAGCCTAGGGTTAGCCACTGGCAAAATACACAATACATGGACTAAAGTATTGGGGCACCCGACAATTACACCAACAGGGACTTTAATCCTATCATCCTATCACAGTACCATACTCTTAGTTCTTCAGAATGACCCTACTTTGTTTCGCAAATGTTTGTAAATGGAGACTGCATGGCTATGTGCTTGATTTTATACACCTGTGCCAATGGGTCTGATTGAAACACCTGAATTCAACAATTAAGAGGTGTGTCCCAATACTTTTGTCCATATAGTGCATCAACAATATATATTAAATAAAATGTTGCACTACCAGCAGGTAGTGTAAGTTGTCATTGTGTCTGTTGGGGCTACATACCTGAAAGTTCAACAATAAAAAAGAAAATGTATACTTGCAACACCAACCTATATCAAATAGTTAAAGTGAGTGAAGTTAAGTGGGGAAAAAAAATACAAAAATGGTCAATATTTCTCAGTATCCTTCTATAGTTTTAATGGTGTGAGACTCCAATCACTGTATAAGTCTAGTCAATATTTGAGCAAAATATTTATCACAATCATTACTTTACCTGAAGGTGGTGCTGAATGCTGTGGCAGAGATGTCTGCTGGGGCCTCACGTCTGTAAAATCAATGCAATACATGATCAAGGGTGGGAGGGAAGGTGCAACATGGAAGATGAAAATTAGAGAACTAATTTCCAATCACTAGCTCCTTTATACACAATACATTCTGATATGGTACCTTGATAATGGTGTGGTCCAGCTAAATCTAGGACAGGCTGTAAGGTGGTGAAAAATTTAGTGCTGATTGGTGGGGCTTCTGGGAGACCCCTGCTCCCTCCTCTTTCTTCATCACTGTCACTAGCTGACTGGTACGCAGCTGCTGAGAGTCGACGGCTTGGCCTGGAAAAACCCAGGAATGGAATATCAGTGTTTCCCCTACCATTCTATTAGGGGGGCACCCTGCCCCCCCAACGGCACCTCCCGCCCCTGAAGGTTAAGTTAATTTTATTTTCTATAGAACAGGTCTATACATTTTCCTTTTATTAAACAAACTAAATAGCCTTATGTTATTTATCATATTTACACAACAGCTTGTCATTTTTGTCTCTACACGGTCGCGCGTTTACAATTCTCCTCTGCTCTCTGTATCGCGCATGGCGGAGTTTCGCCCCGATGCACGCACACAGACACATGCGCACACACACAGGTGAGCACAATACCACCAGCGGACAGAGAGTGTGCGTCGGAAAATGTCGCGTTAACCACCTGAAAAGCAGACAAAAATATCTGCGTTTTTTTAAACGCTCCTAGGGTGGTGAAGATGGCAACACTTGCTCTCCTGCAAGTAGCAGCCGGAGTAGCTCTCCTATTCCGGGTCCAGAAAAGAGCCTAGAAATGTTCTTCCAGAAGCCCAGAAAGATACACTGCAGTGACAAAAGCTGCACACTTTGTGGATAATTATCATAAAAGGAAATGTTCTGATGTTTAGTTCAGTTGTTATATTGACTGCTGTCATGAAAAGAAACACATGAACACCATGAATCCTGTCGGTGTCCATCTGCCCCCCCAAGCTGTAAACCTAGGGGAAGCACTGAATATATATGTGAAAGGGAACATGTAAAGGGGTGTGTGTGTGGCAGCTTTTGGTCTGCAGATACCTTCAAACGGACAATACATACATTATCCTCCTCTGCTTCCTTTGGTTCAGATCGTCAACCTCTGACTGCAAGTCTGAGTGCAGTTCAGCCTCTCTGACTTTTCTCCGTCCTTGTTCAAAATTATCTGATTCAAACAAAAATCATGAAACAGCATGTGTACAGACATTATACAACATTGCATGTTGTATGAATGATGCTCAGTTTTTAGGAATTACATACCAGTTTCAAACATCTGGCGCACATTGTACTGTGTCCAGTTGGTTTCAGGCAGTATCTGCTGCTTGATGGCATTCACTAGCTGTTTTCCTCTGAATGGGGGCCACCAGCAGGCACCTTCTTTCACCCACACACCAGGCACTAACTCTACCTCATGTGTGCCCTCAAATTCAACAACTCTATACATACTGCTCAAAAACAGCAGGAAAAAAAACATTATGCCCTATAAACAAGTATTTTTGGGAGACTTTCCTTTATAACAAGCATTTCCATTCAACATCTATGCATATTAAACAAACTGGTCACATTTTCAAGTGCTAAAATGCAGGAGGGGCACAACAACATAAATGCCTTTATATGGCAATCTGACATACTTTTGTATATGTTCAGTTAGTTCAACAGTTTTTAAAGTTGATGAAAGATTAGATACTGTATACGTTCCAAGATTACATGAACGTATAGGGTACTCAAAAAAAATGTCTTTTCTCTGATATTCTCTAAACACAATGTACACTTTGCCTTGTGAGCTCAGGATGTTTACTATCAATGCAATACTTTCACCAATCTTGGCACAGTTATCTGCATCATTCCATGTTTTAAATATGGATTTACTATCCAAGACCACTTCATGAAACTGACAAACTTTATACTGCTCAAATGAAGTAGGAATGGGCCCATCAACATGTTCTTTTTTCAAGATTGGATTTCCCTTCATGTGCTCATGACTTGGTGATGTATTAATTTCAGAAATTCTGCGTATAATCTGTGCTAATTGCCCATGGGGTGTTCTGATCATTCTCTTAATCTGCCCCAAGTAATTCTCATAGGGAAACCCGGATATAGAATCCAAATTGCCATGCAACATGACATCCTCACAAAGATGAGTCAACCCATGCACATTGTAGACTACATTTTCAGGACCATATAACTGACAGAAATGCTCCACAAATGATATCAATAGACTGCGAGCAATGTCATTCATAGAATGACACAATCTTGGACTTGAAAGTATGAAAATTGAGACGCTTAACAACATAAAATTGTTATACAATGGACTAGGAAGAACACCTGCCAGGACTACCGGCCCTGTATACATCAAAAACTGTCGCAACTCTGTTGCTTTCCACCTCAGCCTTTCACACAGCTTTCTAGGTTTACGTGCAAAATCTATAGGGATGTAGTGTCTTAGTTTAACAAGTTCATTAGAAATTAGTTCACTTTGTTTAGAACTTATTCGATGACACAGAGAACCTGTACACAACCACAGATCAAGCAATTTCCGCATAACACCAAGACAAACCAAGTGCATGTAATCATGTGGAAAACATGATACCATACCAATTGGAATATCCTTGAAAGGTGAACTTTGCACATGATGATCTTCATCAATCATACTATTAAATGATCCATCGGTTCTGCGAACACTGTTCACTTCAGGAAACGTCATTTTGTGGTTTAGGTAAACACCACTCTGAATGCATTTATCACACCCTGCATAGCCAGTATGAGACTTGATCCCTTTAATAAATGCCCGAGCCGGAGCATCACAGACAACAGAGGACACATTTAAGAAGAATTGTTTTCCTTTGAACAAAAAGCCCTTGCGGAGCTCTTTCAATTCGCACACAAGGTCCTTAACATAGTCATGGAGAGAATTTGGCTTTGAATTACCACAGAAGAGACCAATTACAAATGGCTTCTTTACAAATCCTACAAGCATCCCCAAAATTGGCCAGAACTGAACTAATGAACTTTTATAAAGTGGCAAGCCATCAATATTAAGCTGAAGTTTGAACAGGTAGCCATCTGGAAGTTTTGCCCAGTGCCTCTCAAAGATATGAGTTGAAGCATTTAAAATGCCAAAGTAATGGTACTGACCACCACCTAGAATTTGAACACTGTATGATGTTTTTGTTTTAAGCAGGGTCCTAGCATCCTTTGGTAAAAAGGGGTGTTGTATTCTCAGGATCCCTAAAAGAGCAGTCAGAGCAATGAGGGGGACACCAAAGGTAACAGCCCACTTGCTTAATGCTTTTTCTAGCTGGTTGTCTTCATCACCACAACCACAGACTTCTTCTAATTCCATTTCACTATCTGACTCACTGTCACTCATGGCATGGGCTTGATCAAATAAAGGTTCAGCAAAGTCAGCACTACAGACATCAGAATTCTCACAGGTAGCTTCCACACACTCTTTAAGACCAAGCAACAAGGAATTCACTTTTTTAACTGCTCGCTTTCTAGCACCTTTCCTATCCATACTTGTACCTGGTGTGTAAAGATCAAGTCTGTGACTTCACTGCTGGGAATAAAGCACAACATTACAGTTAATGACAAAAAATTGCATTTAAAATAAACTTCTGTAAAAATGACAAATATCAGTAATCGTGATCGGTGGGTTTACGGGTTAAATAAATACAGTATCAGTTCAAATTATTTCTCCTTAATTTAAGTTGGGAAAACCAACGATCAACATTATCAAAATGACTGAAAGTTGCTATTCAAGAAAGTGTTTTTCACGACTCTGTTTTTCAGTTTGGTTGCACTGCCTCCGCAGATTTAAAACAGGCGCTTAAAAATTGGCGCCAAAGTTCATGAAAGGGTTGTTAGCTTGCTAGTCAACGTTCAACGGCCACGAGTGTCATTCAGCTTTATGACTAGTGAACAATGCTAATGCAAATCTCAGAAACAGTTAGATTAATACTAAATCAAAAAATTGGAGCAAATACAGTGAGGACCACATTAACAAAATAAATAAGATAAATTGGATCCGTCCATTAGCAAATTAACCGCAGTCTGCACCTGTTCTAAACCGGTAAATACTCTAGGTAGTGAGTGTAACACAAACACTTTCTTGGATAACAACTTTTAATATTTCACTACACTTCGTCAGCACTTAATTAACTAAACAAGCCAAAAATATGGTTAACTTGCACCTTTTCTGACCAATAGCCAGTAGCTACAGCTAACGCCAAACTCAAGTTGCCACCCTCGAATGCTTGACAACTTCGTCTTATACTCCACAGTTACATATACAAGTTGTTAATATTTAATCACAAGTTATGATGAATCATCTCACCTCGTTTGTCTCCCAATTAACGAGCTGCGTGGTGCACAGATTTCGTCCTGGCGTTTGGGCGGAGCTACAGTAGGCGCGAGCGTGAAAGCCGTGCAGCAGAACAACGTGTTACGTCATTACGACCTCTGGCAAAAGAGTGCGGGAAAACTGTGAATATAACAAACAACCGTTCGACCTATGTAATCTAATATAAAATGTTTTTTCAGGCACATTTATCTTTTAGCCTTTTCTAGTACTTTGCACCAGTTTTATTTATTATGGTTTGCAATGAATAAATATAGGCTATTAATAAACTAGTAACAAGTAACATTTTTTCCCTCAAAGAATTAGCCTACGTGAATTAAGCATGCGAAAACAATTGAGATGGCAATGATGCTTTTTACAATGCTATAATAATTTATAAAAATTAGAGACAGCTAGTGAGTCAAGACTAATGTTTTATTCCAGTGTAATGAATATTTGGAGGAACGAATATAAGGAAAGGGCAAGGAAAAATTGGAAAGCACAAATGTGCAGGATTGAAAGGTTTTGGAAGTCTATATACCATTAAAGCACATGTCGAGGCAAAAAAGAACACTTTAAATAAAGTACATTCGAGTGCCAAACCCTTCAGCAGAAGCCGACAGAAAACGGCACTCAACCGACGGAGGACCAAATGAGCAATTTGGTCAGTCAGCCAGCATCGGCTACCAAGCTCGGCACTGTCCATCCACAATATCTACCTAACAAAATATCAGCGGAGCGGTGCTAAGCTGGTGCTGGCCCACACGAAAAATGCCGAATGTCAGCCAGAATCGCTCGCCGTGGTCAGAACGATTCTGGCCCACATGAAAAATGCCGACTGTCAGCCAGAATCACTCGCCATGCTCGCCCCACAGTCGGCCAGCAATTTTTTGCCGTTGCCGACAGTGAACCGAATGTGCCTCAACTCAGCCAGAATAGGCCCAAATGTGCTTGCTAACTGGGTGATCTCAGTGTGTCCTGTGACTGCAGCCATCTTGAAGGACGCTTCTGCTGTCAAGAAAGGCCAGCTAAGGAACCTTCTGGTTCTGCAGGCAATTCTGGTCCAGTTCTACCCGGCCATCATTCAGTGCATGATCACCTCCTCCAGAATGGCACAGTTTTCTGTTGCTCCTGCCAAGAACAGGGAAACCGTCAGCGTACTGTCAGATCAGTCAAGATAACTGGCTGCAGCCTGCAACCCATACAGCACTGTAGCAAGTGAGACTAATCAGTCAGGCTCAAAAGATCATTATCACCTTGCCAATGAAAAGCAGACCCACTAGATACAAAACAGCTTCTTCCCAAAAGCCCTAGCGGTCGCCAGTCGGTAATCTCACTTTACATCATAACTGCAGTCTGCTGCTTTTTGCACATCGGCTTTTCTCTCTGGCACCCCAACATTATATTACATTATTCTTACTCGTGTCTTATTGTTTCTAACCCTCTAATCATATACACACAGCGCTCACAGCAAGTCTTGGGACCCTTCTTCAATTCAGTAAAAATAATGCAAATCTATTGGTTTTATAACAAAAATCATTAGTTTTTCATTTGTTTACAAAAACATGCATTAGAAACAACCAGTTGTGTTAAGTAAAACGTTAATTTCAAATAGTAATAAATTGAAACCCAAATTATAGTTATTAAACATCCGTTCTGAGTTAAAACGATCATTGACAAGAAGTCGCATTGGGTGCTTTTTAATTAGTAACACCTTTGCAATAACATAAAACACCAAAGATTTGTGTTTAGTGTCCCGTTGGGAGCCAGTGACCACAATTGCAATTATTAGCAAAACACCAAGAACAGAATGAATGAGTCAAAAAAAATCATGACACTTAATAAAAAGAAAATGTTTATGCAGAAGTTATATGCAGATACGTTAAATATTGCTTGTCAATGGACTTTGGTAATGAGACCAATATATTTGAAATATTGTTACAGAATTAAACAAGCGTTCTAAGGCTTCCTGTGACCACTGTCTAATTTTTTAGATTCTGTTCTTCTGTTTGTATATGTATATAACGTTCTGCTTATATATGTCTCTTTAGCTCTATATGTATTCACTTTCTGTATTTCTGTCTGTAGAACCATGTCTGTCTGTCCTGACAACATTTGTAACAAGCAAAAATCCTCATGCATGCTTCTGCTAAGAGAATAAATGTGATTCTGATTCTGAGAAATAAAATGTACTGTCAGCAATGTGTTTGTGTCCCTACCAGTTGGTGGTGGTGGTGTGTGTGTATGTGTGTGTGTGTATTTGTGGGGGGGAGGGGGGGCTGATCAGAGAGTCATGGTCCCCAGCAATCGTATGAAGAATGTCACCGATGAGTGTACATCAGTGATATACAACACAGCACTCCCAGAATGCACCTCTGCGGCAGCCATATAATTTAAATGGAAATTCAGTAATTAAATATGAGTGTAGGTTCTATAAGTTTTACTCCAGGGACCCCGAGGTAACGGCGGCCTGTTTATAGGAGGTTATTGGCAGTAGGGGGCTCCTCGTCTCAGGAAAAGCCTACCAGCACATGTGAGATACTCTCGGTATTTAAATCCAGACTGAAGCTGTGTTATTTTAGCCTAGCGTGATGTAAATAAGGCCACTGGTCAGTAAAGGACTGACCTACAAAGCATGTTAATGCACCGGTGTTGGGAAAGACACTATATGGACATAAACTGAATCGACGGAATCAATCATAAGGGCATCTTCAAGCTGCCATCGTGACAGAGTGACGGAAGCACCCAGAAGCCAGGAACTGTATCAGTGTAGGCATGCTGAGAAGTGGCCATTATATTTAATGTAATAATATATTTTTATAAATTTATAAAGGAATTAGGGTTTTGCTTTGATTAGTTGAGTTAAATTCCCATGTGTTTCTGCTTAACAGGATTATGCTTACATCTTGTACGGCATGGTGTGCTGTGTGTTGCTGAAAGGCTGAATTGTATTTTCAGCAGTATAATCTCCAAACTACTATCTCAATATATTCAGCAGACATGCAGGTAGGTAGACACCCATCTCTAAATCGCCATGGCGTGTGACTGTCTGTGTGCGTGCGGCCCTGCGCTATGGGGCAGAGCCCTCCGTGACCCTGTAATGGTTGGAAAATGGGTGCATAAATATTACAGTATATAGACACACAGACACACTCTTTGACTCTCTGGTCTTCTCTAGAGACACTGTTGCATGTTACATATCAAAGAGTATCGACTTACACTGACACACAAGGCAGGGAGATAAGATTAATGCCAGGTGGGGTCAGGATATGGTGGTTCCTAAAACCAGTTAGATTCTGCCAGTTACAATCTTCTGATGTGCCATGTACCATATCATTTACCAGGAAGACAACTACCTTTGCTCGAACAGGAATGAAACGCAGCCTAGTTTTCACCGAAACTGAAAATGACCATGACTTTTGTAGGCATTTGTTCGCTTCTCCTTCCTATTTTTGGTTAAGAAAACTGTGACTAGGAACCACCATTCAAGGATCTGGTACGGTCTATAAATTGTTCTTCGTTTAATGCTAAATAAACACCAACCCAACAGGATATTTCAGTTGCCATTGAGCCTGAGTGGGCCTCCTCATCTGCAGATCTACCAATTGGTAGGTATCATGCTCATTTGATTTAGCCACTGCTCCACCTGCTGGCGAGCACTGGTAACTGCCACCCCCAATTTGAAAGAACACAAAGCTTTGGATAATATGAATAGATGACAAATGTATATTTTATCTTCATATTTCAGAAAATGTTTTATTTATGTGCTTGATGCAAAAAACATGAGCTGTCTAAACATTCACATTGTTCTGGCTTAGTCTGTTTGCATCATAACCCCACACTGGCAAAGTGTACATGAAGCACAGTCTATCACAGCAAAAAACAGGTGGTCTGAGATTGGATAAACTATAAAATGGTTCTTAACACACAAAAGGAAACCAGAGAGAGCAAATTGTAGCTGAGCTGCTCCCTGCGAACCTTTTCTGGCTTTGAGAGATGGTGGAAGGGGAGACGTACTGGTTAATAGGGTGGAACGGCCCCAGTAATAGGAGGGTACGAGTCCGCAGGCCAAAGACACCAGCTCAGGGGAACAGGCCCACACAAAGTGGGAGAATACGTGAAGCGGGCCGCCCTTGTTAGTCAGTGCCGACTGCAGGTATGCCTGAGGAGGGGGGTGGAGATGCCGGATTCAAACACATGAGTCACTGGGGTCTGCACAATAAGCCCCTACCTGAGCAAAAACAGACTGACTTATCAAAGCAGATGCCAGAGCACAATGGGACTGCTCTCCAAGGTCCGTCGTTTCACGGTCCACAGGTTTCCTGACTTCCGGAACGTCCCGCAGGCTTTCGGAGAGGCTTCAGGAATGATGGGTGAATAGACCTGGCCACTTCGTGATTCCGACTGTGTGGGTCACACATCACGCGCACAAGCGCTGCTTATCAAGCAGCTGCGGGGGTGGGGAGGGCGGTGCCTCTGCTGCTTTTAGTCCCACCCGCATCCGTGAGCAATATTCCCCACCCACCACATCCAGATTCATACACACACATTCCCACACTGAACAGATAGCTGGAGTTATCATCATTGCAGGGACACCGGTCTCTGCCTATCCCCCGCCCTGGTGGTGACACATGCTGTTTTTTCTGTCCCCTTCTGGAAGAGCTGTGTGA